GAAAAATTTTAAATTCCCGCGGATTTTTGGAATTGTGTTTTTATTTTAGTTGTCCATGTGATGCAACTCGTATTGCGGGATACGGATTTCGGGTGTCACAGATATCATAGATATCTCAGGTGTGAGGATCCAAAAGCGAACCATTATATGAGATTCAAGTCATAACTCATGTGTATGTGACAATTTCATATGCATCAATCAATCTCTTGTTCCAAATAAATACTCATGAGTGTGATATGTATCCAAAACATATTGTATCTCTATAACCATTTATCACGCTTCATTGTAGAGAATTTACGATGGTTCAAAACATTTTATAGATTTTATTATATGAAAAATATGTAAATTAAATAATGAACAAAAAATTTAAAATATATTTATCTACTAAAAATCACTACAAATAGAAAAAATCTCATATTCCCATAATTCAAAATTTTCCAAAATCTCATATTAAATCGCAAAATGTATTACAATTTTCCACATAACCACAAGATTTCGAGATTTTGATTTGCTTTGGCTTTAGAGATTTCGGTTTAGATATTTCAGGGAGTTAAACGATTTTGGTTTAGAAAATTTAGACTTTGTGATTTAAATGGTTTGTGTTTGCGGTTATGTAACATTGCAACATATTTTGCGATTTGATGTGAGATTTTGGAAATTTTTGATTTTTTATTTAAGTTTTTATCAAATTAAAAGTTGATATAAGAATTAGAAACATTAACAAAAATTTGTGGGAAATATGAGATTTTACATTACAAATATAGAGATTCTCAACCACGTAAACCAACACTGACAAATCATTCCACGATATGCTTCTGTCCTTTGGTGGGTTTTTCTTCGACGTCTCCCTATTCGACATCGTCTTCTCCGTTGGGGAATGCGTTACGGATTGACCACATGCGTTTCGCCACTTGGAGGACGAATCGCACTTCTATGTTTTCTTATCGAGTGTATGAGTTTGCCATTAGATATTTTATCTCTTACCAATACATTGTTCGTTTCGCACCATGGTAACATGAGCCATAAAAACTTTAGAAAATTCATGAGGTACAATAATATATATTTTTTATGTACATTTGGACAGATTAAAATATATGTAAACACGCCTCTATGCTATTTGCTGTCTACAAATTAAAATTACAAAAGATACAAAAAAAATAATCTGAAATTCATTTAAAAAAATACCACAAATTTTATCACAAAAAAACTACTCGAACATTGTTGTGTGAAGCCTAACATAATCAAAAAAGCGTCTTGAAATGCATTGGACAATATGTACAAACCAGAGTACATGGTTTTTTTTCTCCATTTTATTAAATTGCAATTCTAATAAGCAAATCATTAAATCGCAAGACAAGATCCTATTCAAAGAACCACCCCAAGCGCATATATATACCTCAGAGACAAACGCTTTGTTATTACATCATTGTATCTCTTAGCTTAGGAACTGGTAAGATAAGGGCTTGTTGTATAGAGGCAAGAGAGAGAACTTTACTCTGAGTTGGGCAAGCTGCAGTTATCACGGATGGGTTGGCGAACGAGAAACACGAGGTTTAGGCAGTTTAGAGGCGGGGATAACGAGAGCGACCTTTCTTCTTCAGGAACTCAGGGATCTCGACCGAGCTACCTTCTGTGAATGAAGATGAGGGTCGCCTTGTAACTCCCCGTGAGACTTCTCCTTGTGCCAGTTGATTCCCCTGCATTTTTTTCATATCAAGAGAGAAAGAGATGTTGAAAAAGGCGAAAAGGCTGACGAAAACGGGAGGCAAGTACGCGAAAATAAGGAGTGGGCATGGGTCATGTACGCAGGTATTAGATCTCAGATCCAATTAACCAAATCTGATTTTCGAGCTTTCCTCAATCTCTTTTCATAGTGTTCCGAGTATTCAAATTTTGGATTTTTTTTTTGCTAAGCCCTACGCAAAAGGAGCGAGACATATACACAATGATCTAGGAAACCCAGATATTTACTTGCGTAATTTGTGTAAAACAACTTGGTAGTTATGTGTATACATGCTAATAGAGAAGACAATACCTGAAGTGGCCGCCCTTCAGTCTGTTCTTGGCGTTTGAAACCCGTAGCTATGAGGGTTATACTTACCTGTCATGATCAAGAATAAACGTTTTCCACAATTTTGAGCATCGAGGATTCTATTTCGAGGTTGTAAATTTGTAGAAAACGAAGGAAAAGGAACTCACTTGACCAGTGAGAGATGGATCTATGACAGCCCCAAATATGAGATTGGCGGTAGGATCAACAAGATCATATATAACTTCTGCAGCTGCATTTACCTACCACAACGTTTCCCAAAGAACCGAAGAACATGTGAGCATATAACATTGAAACAGTCTAAACAATGGGTGTGAAGCAAAGATAGGCTCTTCTGGCTTGATGTAGATAGACCTCGAACAATGTCAGATCACTTCCACCAGTAATATTCCAGACTATTCCGGTGGCTCTCTCGATGCCAATATCCAGTAAAGGAGACTGGATCGCGTTTAGCGCAGCATCTCTTGCTCGGGCCTTTCCTGCTCAAGCAAAGGGTATGGTAATTTTCAGTGTTCCCAAATGCCCAGAGAGAAACCAACCGTCTGTATCTAATCTACAAGTTCACTAGTCAGATTTGGATATTCAGCTACATCTATGATACCGTTTCTCTGGTAATCCCCGTATAAGTTTTTGTCCAATACTATTTACGGGTTTCGCAAAATTCACTTCTTGTTCCTACCCGAATTCTCACTACTACATTTTTATGTAAAGAGACTAACAATACCAAATTTACCAAAGCATCCCACTCATACCTGTTGCTGTTCCTATCCCCATCAATGAAGAACCAGCATTTGCCATTATAGCTCTCACATCAGCAAAATCCACATTGACCAGTCCAGGAATCTGCAAGCAAAGGAAAACAACACATGTCAAGACTTTTGCCATACGAAATATTCTCTCATTCTCAAAAAGGCAATTCAATTGAACGCCATACAGTAATGATATCAGAGATTCCACGAACACCCTGACGGAGAATATCATCTGCCAAGTTAAATGCTTCGGTCACTGGAGTAGACTGAGAGACGGCTGTAAGTAATTTGTCATTAGGAATGACGATGAGAGTGTCAACGTTATCTCTAAGAGATGCAATTCCTTCCTGAGCTTGCAATGCTCTTCTTCGGCCCTCAAAAGAGAAAGGGGTTGTGACAATACCAACCGTTAATATACCCATCTCCTTTGCTATCTCTGCAATTATAGGAGCTCCTCCTGTGCCAGTTCCACCACCCATTCCAGCCTGTAGAACACAAATACATTCGGTTTTCAATGCTCAAGCAATGAGATAAGACTAAATGCTTGAAGGGCTACTCTTAAAATAAGACTTTGAATGGAGCAGAGTCAGCAAGCTCGTGGAAAATAATGCACGGTAAGTTTACTGCATAGTTTCTTTATCACTTGACCAATTCATTTCATTACTTTTATAATGAGATAAAAAAGAAATGATGTGATGAAGAGCGATTGAAACATGCCAAAATGTAGTGAACTGGTTAGAGAAAAGCAAAAACAAATGAGTTGAGGATCTAACCGTGATAAAAACCATGTCTGAACCACAGAGCGCCTCTTCGATAGATTCCTTGCTTTCTTTGGCAGCATTCATTCCAATCTCTGGATTTCCACCAGCACCTAAACCCCTAGTCAACTCCTTACCGATCGGTAACCTGTTCTCTGGGAACACAGGCGACATTCTCATTGCCTGAATATCGGTATTCACTATCCAAAATTCAACACCTTTCATTTCACTCTCTATCATACGATTCACAGCATTTGACCCACCACCTCCAATGCCAATAACCTTTATCCTTGCCTCATTATTACTGCTTGTAGTAGACGATTCTCCAAAATTCTCAGTGATGGGTCCAGTGGAAGTCTCCTTTCTTGGATTGATTACCACATCGTTGTTCCCTTCGCCGCCTCTAAGCATCGATATTTCTGGGTGAAGGTTCAAGAAGGGATCTTGACTCTGGAAATGACTCAGACTGTGAGAGTTTGAATTGCTTCTCATAGGCGAAGATTCAGATTTATGAGCTGCACTAACACGGGTCTTCCTGCTCCCAAGCATTTTAAGGCAACAAACCCTGCCCAGATGATTTTCAGGAAATACGCTATTCTTGAGAACAGTGAGAACCCGAGAATCAGAAGGAGAAAAACACGGAGAAACATAGGTCGCCATTACTACGAAAACCCAAAAGGTGTAAACTCCAACTCCTTCAGCTCGTAGAGCATACGAGACAAGAACCTGTTTTATGACAGCAAGAATTCAAAGGGAGATCATCAGCCAGTTGCAATCACCAAAAGGACTGTCCAAATCAAACAATGCCAACCAAACAAGAGATTAATTAAGACGGAAACCCACAGCGAACATCATCGCATTTTATGCGATCAATAATAAGAAAAGAACAGTGATACCGACATTCTCATAATAAGGTAAAACAAACCATCGATTCATCAAAATCTGAGCATAGCCACTGATTACAGGAAATTCAAAGCCGTTCAGAGCTTTGGATGAAGATAAAAGCAAAAACCCGGTAGCATATACTAAGCGTATTAATACAATCACGAACCGGAAACTCCCGAAAATCATGAACCCTTCATCGATTTTCAAATTGAAGGAAATACATTCGAAGCTTCAACATGGGTAGTAACGGAACCCCCTGGACTAGCAAGAACACTCGTAATTTCGTGAAACAAATTCTAAATTGTGTAGCAGTACCAAGAACAAAGCTAAAAAAACGAACCCAGATAAAACAACGCAAAACTCAATTCATAAACTTAAAATGCACCCAAAAAAAAAGAGAATCAGAACAAATTGCGGATGAACTACATTAGCATGAAGCAGGAGGGGGAGAGAAAGAAAACCTGGAGTCTTTCTGGAGAGTAGCAGAAAATGAAGAACCAGAAAAAGTGACAAAAGGTGTGAGAAATGGAGGGTTTTGGTATTTTCTGGGCTTAAAAATCTCTCGCAAAAAGCCTCTGCTCTCGTTTTCTATCCGCTTTCAATTAAAATAATTTACTCCGTAAATGCAGCTGTGAAGTTTATACATTTTCATAAGACGACAAAAAAGAAAACAAATATCAACAAATGGAGAAAATATGAGAAACCAATGAGGCCATGAATTTGTTGGAAATAGGCTTTTGATGAGCCCTTTGGGCTTATTTATTTTTCTTTAAAAATGTAAAAAATGGTTTGTTTGTATATCGCATAAATTCATTATCAACATCTTAATCCAAAATTTATTTAGATCATTAATTTTCGTTTCTGCACTTTTTGATTTTGAGTTAAATCTTTTGAGATTTACAACAATTTCAAGTCTTTACTCTCTAATACTCTAGTTTCGAATTCTATCTATTCATCTCAACCACATATCATGCAAGTCTAATGGCACTATAGTAAAATTTTTCTTTCAACCGTATAAAAATCTTACGATCACAAAAAAAACTATATATGATCTTCATTTCATTCCTCCATCTTTTTATTTTTATAACTAACATCTTTATCGCAACTTTCATCTTTTTAGATTGAATCAATATATTGAAAATAAAAATTTTCGTTGTTAATTCTCCTTCCAAGTTAACTTCTATATCTCTAACAGGTTTCATACTAAAATCGCAATACATATATTCAGTTTTCGTTCTAAACTCTGAAACTCTTTGCTTCTAAAATATTCCTCAATAACCTAACTATTCATTTACTCATTTTCTAAAATCGTTCAATAGTACAATATTGTCCGCAAGAATCATACACCACGACATTTCTTTTTGTATATAGTGTTTTTAGTATAATTCTATTACAGAGAAGTTTGATACTTTTTTCGGAGCAGACAAACTCAAACTCCGCTAAACTCAGTCTTTAAGTGAAATTAGATACTCATGCTCTTGGAAGGAGATGCAAGTGTATGATATCTGTCTCGTGATAAAGATTGATGTGTTCGTATATCTGTATTAGCAACGGCAGGGCAACATTACATACACACACACACATGTATGTGGTTATAAAAACCCTAGTCACAGAAACCAAGCCAAAAAAAAAAACAATGCCTTCTATACCCAGTGATCAACAGAAACACAAATCAGACAGCCCAAAAAACAATGCCTTCTATTTTCAAGCGAAAATGTTGCATTTTTGTTTCAGCCACTGACACAGGAGAAGGAGAGATAACTACCATTATGAGAAAGAAAAAAGAAAACAAAGAAAGAAAGCTTAAGAGATGTTTCCATTAACCCAACCAAATAAAAAGAGCTATCATGCATACACACTGGTTAAGACTTCTGAAGCAACTGTAAACATGGCATGTAGATGCATCATGCATGTATATGTTTCGTTTGTGAGGTTATGTATGCGACATGATCCACAACTTAGAATTTGATATATAAAAGTTCAACTATGAGACAAACCAACCATTACTGTGATTGAAAGCAGCAAAACTACATAAGATGATACTATCAACTGTTACTATGATTGAAGGCAGTTGCTCTCATCATATGGTCTCTAAGACCAAAGATATAACAGAATCATAGATAATACATTACTTTGAGGCAGTATCAAATCTAAAGTTATCAAAAAGCTTTACACGTCGCTGTTTAATAAACCTCACATCAAGCATTCCCATGAAACCAGCAACTCAGATTGCATTTCGCTACTACCTATGGCACCGGAAGATTCACGAACTAATCCATCTCCAAAGCAAACAAGTCCCACCAAAACCAGAGGAAATCAAAATATAACGAGAAGCGAAAACAGAGTGTAGATCAAGAAGCAAGCGTACGCGATCAAGCCACGGTGCTCATCTCCTCCGTCGGCGAGCGAGACAACCAGATTTGAGCAAGCCCTCGTTGACCACAATACGAACACCGCCGCCAGCACGAATCGGACCGGCCCCGCCCCCTGCGGCACGAACAGCGACACCGCTGACAGGATAACGACGGGAAGCAGACAGTAGCCGACCAAACTTGTACACGTGTGAAGATTCAGGTTACCGTTTCGACCAGCGAGCATGTTGAATACGACGTAGAGGAAGATGGAGGAGACGACGATCCATCCGAGTATAACGCCAAACTGGATCTTACCGGCGAGTAACTGGAACAGGCAAAACGCGAGGTACAGGAAGATCGGACCAGATAAATCTGAATCCATGTGAACGCTCTGATTGATCCGGAATGGATTGAGAATCGATCTCGTCTTCTTCCAGATCTGATCGGGATGGATACCGAGCTCGTCAAGCAAAGGTTCCTCGTCTTCAAACGAAGCAGCACCTCCACCAAACGACGAAGACGAGGCAATTGTTCCGCCAAAAGGTCCGACGGAGGCGGCGGATGACGCAACGGCGGCGGATCCGATGTCGAAGGACATGAATGGTATAGCGGAGGAAGAAGGACGCGGCGGCTGAAACGGAGCCGTTGGAGCACGGCGCTGCTGGACATTTCCGGTGGCCGGAGTGCCGCCGGAGGGGAAGACCACGGGAGGAACCGTAAAGTCCTTCGCCATCTTCTCCACAAACTCTTTCCTTAATCAAGATCTACGGATATCGGATCCGATCTCTGAATCGGAAAAAGGGATTCGAAATTAGGGTTTACGATAGATCAAGAAGAGGAAATCGAATTTTTTTTTCCAAAACTTTCAGAGAAGTTCGCTTTTTTATTTTTTTCCGCAATAGCGAAGCGTCGGCCGTGTTCTTTATAGAGAATAGCGTTTGAAGGGTAATTACGACAATGTGCATGAGTGTATGACGAGTATGTTGGCAATTAGATGTGCATAATATCATAAGGTCTCTTGGCGAAATGTGAAAAATAAATAGTTTTGTGCCAAAAAAAAATTTACACAAAATAAAAAAAACACACTAAACTTTACAATTTTAATAAAAAGAACACCAAATTTTTGTTTTTATCAAATAAACATAAAATTTTTTAAATGAGTTTAAAAAATACTGAAATTTTGTAAATGATCCAAAAAAATACATTAAACTATTATATGATTGTCAAAAAAATACTAAACGTTTTAAATGATTCAAAAAAGACATAAACTATATACAATTATCAAAACAACCAACGACAATAATTTGTCGTGTCTGTATCTCTTTATACCACGTCATTTCATTTGTTTATTTTGGTAATCGTAGAAGAGTTAAGTGTTTTTTTTACAAATTTATAAATTTTAATGTTTATTTGACAAAATCAAAAGTTTAATGTTTTTTTTAAATCGAAAAATTCAGTGTTTTTTTAGATTTTTTCAAAAATTTATTATCTTTGCAAAATATACCTTTTTCTATTTTATCCCAATTACATCTCTCAACGGGGAATGGTTAGGTTGAGAAGTATTAAGCCACTTTGATTCTCTCTCCAAAAGACAGAATTCAAAAACGCTAAACAGTCGAATAGAAAACGTTTTTTGGGACGAATGACAGAAGTATCCGGATTCCATTACAATCGTTTCTTCCTTTGCAAAACAGGTATGCTTGTTGTTATTTAATTTGTATAAATTTGAGTTGTCGTTATGTTGGGTATGTTTCACCGGTGGAAAACTTAGGTGTTTATTGCAGTGTTTGTCATGGTGTGTTTTGTGGTTTTCTAATTTTGTTTCACGTCACCGATTGTGTATTTGCAGTGGTTTGTTTTATTGTGTTTGCAATTTTGTTTTGTCATTTTGTCGTTCATCAATAAAAGAACAATCCATGAACTAAAATTGGTTTCCCGGATAACATACGAACACCCCGAACGAAGAACCCAACACGAGACTCTAAATTAGCAATCCGAGTTGGAACCCTAGTATCTGAACGAGAATAACATGATCCTGGGCAAAGCGAATTTTCCAAACGATGATCCTTGTCCGGGATCATATAAATATGTCCGGATACTAGGCGTCGAGGCAGGATTGTCAATATCCAGACGATTACACGAACAGTCGCACCAAATATTAACCAATCTCGGACTGAGACTTACTATCCGGACGGTAATATATGGTCTGCAGATTCAGGTTTATCCGAGATATATGGGATTCCGTTCGGATATGTTGATATTTGTCTGGAACAATGCAATATAGTCCGGTAATTTTGTGACCATTCGGTTATGTTGATACTTTTCTTGTATTTTTTTAATCGAAATGGACGTGTTCTGTGACACCCGTAACCCGCATCCCGCATACAGGATGTGCCACGTGGACAAGTAAAATCATAACCGTAAAATTTCGAAATGTAAAATCACGGGACAATTAAAAAACCTTTCATTTTAAATATAATATAGCGGAAGACATTATACAATACATGAGTACGTTTACATACGTACTCAAAGATAACAGTATATAATACAAGTGGTGCGAAAACTATAATACAAGTCCAAAGTTCACCATTCTTTATTTTTGAAAGCAAAATGCGTTAAAGATAATTATACATGATCTGGAAATTGAGCCTTCACCGGGTCTCGCATCTGCCTCAGTCACTACTGTTGCTCACGACCTGAAACGTTGCGTAACAACGTCCTAAACTACTGTTTAGGGAGGAATTCAGGTGTAACCCGAGATTTCTATTTTTATTGAAAACGGCCAAACAATATAGTCAATACTATACATATACATGAGACGAGATATATCAATCAAATCAATCATCGTTGAATCAATCAGCAATCTCAAACAAAATCTGTCAATCGTCTCTACGTGTATCTCACACGTAGGTAAATACAACAATTCATTCATGTCTGTGTCGAACACGAGGCGCAACAGTCCAAGTAAATCGTTTGCGAGGACCTCAAGTGGTCTTCATACTCCTCATCGGTTACCGATTCACGGCTCTTGGTACCGGTCATCTCCATACCCACTCCAGACATCGATCCCTAATGTCGCCGACTGTCGGGCGAAACAGCTCTATGCTAACTCCCCCTCGCTGACCATCCACCTCGGAAAATACCCATCAGACTCGAGCTCAAGTATTTCAGAGTACATCCGTACCACCTCGTCAGGGGACACACGCAATTAACTGAGTCTCAGGTTTATTTGCCAATCAACGGGTGACACATGCAAACCCGAAGCCCGTTCCATGGCCATTGGAACGTTGATGCGGTTACCAAAGAACCGTACTTCCTCATCATGCATTCGGGTGACACACGCAAACCCGAATACGTGAGTCGTAGGATGCCATAACCGTTCGTCAGGGAACGATAGCGCGATTGAAGATCGCCACAATCACAATCACGTCACCGTGGTATGATAATCGATCCGGATCGATTATCATACATCGAAGACTTCAGTAAGTGCAATCATCATTTTATTATTTATAACATTACCCGACTACAATCATACGTTTCACAATATCCGGATCCATCCAGTATATGAAGGATATGATGCTCTGGGATGATCATACGATATGAGAACCATGTATGATACGATGT